CCGACCCATTTCTCACCAAGAAGAATTAATAAACATCTCATGCAACAGAAGAATCAAGAGTTGATTTGCAGAGCAATCAACGGCTAAGTTTTGGGCCGACCTAATTAGCATTAGAATTTTTACTACCATTTTGTATGACGAAACTTTGCGAGAGCGGATTTTCAGTCATGACAAACATAAAAACAAAAGATAATCACCGACTTTAACTCAAAAAGGACTTAAGCTGCATTCACTAAATAGAAAGCAGATTTTCGATAGTTTGTACAAAGAGAAACGTGCACATTTGTTCCATTAAACTTAAATAATTTTAAGAAGAATTATTGGCAAGCCATTATAAAGGCTTGTATTAAAGTTAATAAGTAATAAAAAATATTCATTTCGGCTATGAAGAGTATGCATGTTTAAACTCTTTCCACTGGATTTCGCATTTTATAATACCGCACTATAAGAAATCATACGTAAAAAATTATTCCATGCTTGCCGATTTTACCTTTATAAGAAAAAAGCCAATTAAATTTTCTTTTATTTTTTGCCGCCCCCAGTAGTTTACCACCCGGGTGCCCTGCACCCCTTGCAGGGCCACTCTAACCACAGGGCTAAATGGGCTATAGCCCCGGGGCGCAACCTTTTGAGGGCGGCAATTTTTATTGATGTTATATTTTTTTATTATTATATACTACACTTCATGTCAAATTTAACGCACCACTAAAAATTTGCCACAATTTCAAAGTTGATTTTCTCGCGAACCGTCAAACCGAATTTGTTGATTTTTTTATTAAATTGCAGGTTTATTCTTCGATAATAATGTGTTTATTGAAATATTTTTTCAAACTTATATTTTGAGTATATACAGGGTGCACGAGTGATAATAAGTTTTTCCCCGGAAATTTGAAACACCCTGGGGTTTGTACCATCTTTAACAGCATATGAGTTTATATAATAAACTATAGCCCCATATTTTCTTAACATTTTCTTATTTGATTCACGTCGCTATCTATTTTTTTAAACGAGATATAGGGTTAAGACTAAATAACTAACAGTTTAATCTAAAATGAAAGAACTTAACATAGGTAGGTCATGGAGAATAAATAATGGTGTGCAAATGTCATTTTCATTTAAGTTGTCTGCATAAAGTTTTTGCAATGGAGCGCCAAGTGAGAAATTTGAATAGTAATGAATGTGTAAGAATAATTACATTGGCCGAGCAAGGATTAAGCTACCGTGCCATAGCTCGGAGATTGGGAGTTAATCATACCTCAATATCCCGTGTTATTCGTCCAACGATGAAAACAGACGTGATGGGCACGGAAGGCATCGAATGACAACAGCCGTAAATGATCGTTTTTTTTATTTGCATGCTTTGAGAGAACGATTTGTAACAGCAAGAAATCTACAGGTACAACCTAATGCTACTCATAATTTTCAACCAAGTGTGTCCACCGTAAGAAGACGTCTTGCGGAACAAAATTTGAGCTTCAGAATTCCAACAGGATCGAAGTTAAATGCAAATCATCGTAGAGCAAGACTGCAATTTGCCAGACAACATATGTTGGCTGGAATATTGAGGATTGGCACCGTGTACTATTTACAGACGAGTCCATGTTTTGCTTATTCAGCTCTGATCGGCGAGTAAGGGTTCTCCGACGTCCAAATGAAAGATTTTTTACAGTGTAACATTCGTAAAACCATGCTATTTAATGGAGGTTCTGTAATGGTTTGGGGAGGAATTTCCTTGACAGCTCGCACAGAACTCGTCATTGTTCGTGGAGGTACCATGAATAGTGTACGATATATCGAGGGCATTTTATCCGATCATGTTGTCCCTTTCGCCCCTTACATTGGTAATAATTTTTTACTGATGCAGGATAACGCAAGACCCCACACCGCCCATATGGTGCAAGAGTACTTACATGAGGTGGGTGTTGAAACTTTAGACTGGCATGCAAATAGTCCGGATCTCAACCCCATTGAGAATTTTTGGGATAATATGACTAAGAAATCATGATTTCTTGCCTGCATCCCTTGATGACCTAGCAAATATACTACGAAAAAAATAAAAGAATAACCTGTTCTAAATGAAACAGAAAATAGTATAAGAAATTAAATGAACTTTGTCTAGTTCTGATCCTTTAGTATAACTTGTATAACCCTTCCCAGCTAACAGAAAAGCTTGAAAAACACGTGACATTTTGGTAATATTTCAACCAAAAGACGTGTTTTTTTTATGTATACAAGGTGTCCCTAAACTTAGTGGCATAAATTTAGGAGCAGATTAAGCAAGTCAAAATAAGACGAAAATATAAATAAATAAATAAAAAATCTAAATAATTAGGTAAGTTTAAAAGATACAGGGTGATAAAGTGTTACTTATCATATCAGTTTTTTTAATATAACTTTCACTATGGTAGACTTGGAAAGGTGATATTTTGCGAACAGTCACTTACTACCAAAAAACATATTTACACATAATTACAATTGTTCGAGTGAACGCAGTGTCGTAGAAACAATTATTGTAATCTCGAATATCTCGGAAACGGTTTATTTTAGTTTGAGATGTACACCTTTTTAATGGTAGCCGAACTGTGTAATCGAAAAATTGTATCAAATGTTATAAAAACCTAACCTCAAAGTTTGTATGGCACAATAAGCTTAAAGCAACCCCCGTTTCTACGACACTGTGTTCACTCAAACAATTGTAATTATGTGTGAATAATATTCACACATAAAATACTAAATACTAAATATGTCTTTTAGTATTAAGTGACTGTTCGCAAAATATCACCTTTCCAAGACTACCATAGTAGAGGTTATAATATAAATATTAAAAAAACTGATATGATAAGTAACACTTTATCACCCTGTATCTTGGAAATCATAAGTAATTAGGAAAAATATTTATTTGGGTTTCCGGTGTCCCGCCGGAGCCCATCCGCCCCTAGTTATCATTATATTTAATCGGCCTGATTGGCCGAATTCGCTGATTCTAGTGGCTAACGGCATTTTTTGTAGAATAAAAGCCACCTCATTTTCAAAATGATTTTAAATTATCTGCTATATACCTATCTAAGATTCTGCTATAGTGTTAATTTTCTTATCAACAACTATTGAAATGGATTCTTATCAATATGTAAAATATAGGAAAATAGTATTTATAAAATGGTTTTAATAGATAAAAAAATAATAAACATTCAATTTTCTTAGTTTCTTTAAGAAACTTTCTTGACCCATCACTGGTAATATATAAAATAATACCTTTATGTAATCCTGTAATTGGACCTCTTGGCAGTTGAATGCAAATAACTAAATAATAATAATAAAATCCAATTTTATCTACAATATATCTATATATGTTGCAAGACTGAAACGCCTTCTATATATATATACAAAAAAAATATATACAAAAAAAAAATTCCCACCAAAGAAGATCTCTTAATTTTAATTTTAAGTACTCGCTAAATGAAATTAAAGTTTTCCCATTTAATTAACCCGTAAAAATATTTTTTTTTGCTTAAATTATCTATAGCATAGCGACATTTCATGGCATTCATTTGAACATAGGTGGAAGTTGGAGAGGGATAGTTCAAAAGTTGGAAATTAGCTGTAAGAACTTTGAAAGAGGAATGATCCCTCTCCAACTTCCACCCATGTTCAAATGAATGCCATGAAATGTCGCTAGGCTATAGATTAAAAAAAATTTTTTACGGGTTAATTAAATGGGAAGATTTAAATTTATTTAGCGAGTACTTAAAATTAAAATTAAGAGCTCTTCTTTGGTGGGAATTTTTTTTCTATGTTTAAAACAATATTTCGTCAATGAAGTGAGAAAAAAAATAGTCGTCTTAAACGAAACAATCTAATATATACTTATATGTATGTATATTAGGGTGTCCCAAAAAAAAGAATATTTTTTTTTCTTCTCGTCCCTTGTGAAAATATGTTGGTTTGTCATGTTTTAAGGGCCCTGTCAAAAGATCAGCACCATTAAAAAATGTTTAGGGGTCGCTCAAGATTTTTAAAAATTACCAAAATCGTAAAAAATTGGATTTTTTTAATTTTAATTTTTTTTCTCGTTCCAATATTATTTTTTAATTTAAAAATAATAATGATTCTGAAAATTTCAAATCGGTATTTTAATTTCTAAAGGTCGCTCAAGATTTTTTTAACTTTCAAAGTAGAGTATTTTGAATGTTTTCGAGCGACCTCTGAATATAAATATCAACGAACTTTTAGCGACCTTTAGAAATCAAAATATTGATTTGAAATTTTCAGAATTTTTATTATTTTCAACCTAAAAAATAATATCGAGACGAGAAAAAGAATTAAAATAAAACAAAAATTCAATTTTTGACGATTTTGAAAATTTTTAAAAATCTTGAGCGACCCCTACTAAATTTTTAATCTAGCTGATATTTTGAAAGGGCTCTTACAGCATGATAAACTAACATATATTTACAAGAGACAAGAAAAAAAAATATATTCTTTTTTTTTTGGGACACCCTAATGTATATATATATATATATATATATATATATATATATATATATATATATATATATATATATATATATATATATATATATATATATTTATCCAACCATCCTTCCCAAGCCCGATATGTTCAACAGGCAACCTCAGACCCAAAAGAAATATTGGTTCGCGGGGTGTGTATAAGTAAAAATATAATGCTTACCATTTATAACTTTACGAGCAGAGGAAGAGGGGAAATATTTTTCACATATAATAATTTGTACTATGTAATGGTAGCTGTCAATCCCCATATAGGGAACCGTTTTCCTAGTCCCATATATAAATTTTGCAACAATTTAACGACGTTGTCGATCCCGGCAGTGTTGCCTAATTTAATTAAATTTAGAAACACTACTGGGATTGACAACGTCGGTAAGTGGTTACAAATATGGGATTCACAACGGCCATTACATAGAACGTGTAAGCTTTTGATAACGCTGATTGAATGTTTAATATCGTTTTAACTATTAGCAATGAATAGAGCAAGATTTTTAGTGCATTTGGCGACTAGGAAAGGCGATGAAGGTAAGTGGCTTTATTAAACATATTTTGAGTCGTGTGTATACAGTATTTAAACTTATTTCAAGTATTTGACAAAATTACACTTTTCCGCGCGAGATACAAGATTGCATCAGTAATTTGTTTATTAAATTAATTAAAATTATTTTAAATATTCATCATGTAAGTAGATACTGCGTTTAATTTTCGTTTGTTTGTTATTTGATTGTTCCCAACATAACATAATATAACCTCACTTTCCCTTAGAAACTGCACATAGTGCTCTTTAGAAAGTTACCTAATAAACAAATCAATATTAAATTTAAATGATATTTTATCACATAAGAGTACATAATATATTATAAATAAATTTTATTATAATGTGAATTATAAAAACATAAATATTGCCCCTATTTCTCTGAACGCTTATATAGAGTTTACGATGTAGGGTTAATTAATTAATTAAATCGTTAAATTTTTAACTTAAATTTATTTTAAGTTTTGATACAACTTCTGAAGATCCCTGGTTTGACCCAGTGACCTTCCAAAGTTGAATCAAAAGTTTAAATAAATTTAATTTAAATAATTTTTATTGTTATTGAATTATTTTAAATTCCGACCAATTTAACAGCGGTTTAATTTTCAGTCCCTAGACCGTAAACACCCTGTAAAAATCTCTTCCTTTTTTTAAATTTTTTAAGTTTTTCTGCACACCTACTTGTAAAATAATAAAATTTATTACATTGTATTTAATTTCTTACTGCCTATTTTAATTATTTTTTTACTCCTATTGCATATTATTGACATTATTTGTGTTTTTTCCTTAAATAATGGTAACAATAAAAACGCTCCGCCTAACAACGGGAATAATAAACGTATTATTCACGTTGTAAGGCATCAGTGATTGGCTGATTTCAATATTCACTGTTATTTGAACCAATCGGTAAAAAGTAAGGTTAACAGATGTTAGATTTTTACGAGGAGCGACTATTATAGTATAATGATCTCTAAATTCTGAAGAAAGTAAAGTTATAATAAATTTTATAGTATAATGATCTCTAAATTCTGAAGAAAGTGAAGTTATAATAAATTTTTATACTTATGAAAATTACTTAATTGGAGTAGAAAAATCATAGTACTACACTCGAAATAATGCGCATTATTCACTCGGGTGAACCTTATCCTTGTAAATAATGGCCTGCATTATCTCTCGTATAATAATATACTATTTTTACTAAAAAATTAGATTTAAGCACTTTTTATAAAAGCTTATAAGCTCCATCAGTTATATTGGGACACCTTTATGTTATGTTTTTTCCTCTTACTACCTTAGACATTCCGCCAAGGGAAAAATATATATTTTTCGTATATTTCGTATATTCTGATTTTAATAGCCCTTAAATATGCAAAAATATATAGTATGCTACCTAAAAACTATCCTTGTCGCTACTCTTTTGAATTTTAATTTAAAGCGTTATAATGATGTTTAGACAAAGCTTAAGCTTATTTTTTGAACTAGGTTAAAGGAGTATATTATGAAAAACAACCTTTTTGAGTACAAAAATAATTTTTAGTGCTACATAAATTTTAAATTACCGTTCAAACAATCCACAGATAATGTAATTTAATTGTTTGTAATTTTTTTGTCACGCTTTTTCTGTGTACAATTTACTAAAATATTTGCCAATCAAAATCCTTTAAAAAATAAATGATGAATTGAAGAAATTACAACACTTTTTAGATGTTGACTCATGTCTTCCTGCGAGGAAAAAAAGACTTGAAAGGTTTGCAGTTCCCCTTCAGGATGTAAGTATACCCAATATTTCCGAGTTTTCTGTTAAATAAATATTTTGACTCTTGCGTAGCTCATACATGAATTGCCAGATCAACCATCGTCAGAAAAAGTTAATAATTATTTGCAGAACCTACAAATTATGCCCGATTTAACAGATAAAAACAAAGAAAATATTTTGAATACCTGCAATACAGAAAACAAAATTATCGTGCATAATGTTATTAATCTAGATAATACCGTTTCAAAAAATTATCAGACTGAATTGGGTTATTCATATACAAATTGCCAAAACGTCAGTGAAGATTTAAAGATTCAGGACAATGAATCTCCTTTAATAATCTCAAAAAGCCCTTCAGAATTTGAAACCAGTGGCAAAAATCAAATAGCAAGCTTGGATAAATCACCTGCTACAACTGCTGTCAAAAAGGTTGTGCCTTCTGAAGAATATTCAGAAAGTTACTTTGGGCAACCTTCATTAGAGACAGTTTATCATTGTATGCAAAACATGCAAATTATTCCAGATTTAACTGAAAAGAGTAATAATGCGGTTGATCCATACGAATTTACTGGTTTAGATAATGTCTTAGCTACTTGTAATATGCCTGAAAAAAGTCTCATACATAGTGATATTAATACTGCTCCAAATAAATATGGTTTTGTATTGAATGATTTATCCATGAATGACCCAAAAAACAGTGAACATTATAAGAAGCAAGACAATTTGTCTCCTTCAGTGACTTATAAAAGTTCTGAAGAATACTCCGAAAATAACCTGGATTGTAATAGTGATGATGATGATTATGTACCAGATACTGAATCGGAAACTTCAGAAGTTACGCATTTTTTCTCGAGTGAAGAGTCGGAAGCTAGTCTTCCAATACCTCTAACTGAAAAACCATGTACATATTCTGTAATTGAAAAATCTTCTTCAAGACCTACTGAACAAATATCAACGCGGGTTTCTAATTCAGTGGTAAGAACTTTCAAATAAAGATTTTATTCTAACCTTTAAGATCGACATGTTTTTTCCATTTACTAAATTGTACAGTACCAGGCTTTTATTTTAGTATTTTTTTACGTTTGCATTTAAAATCAATACAAAATCAATCAAAAACTCTTACGTATAATAATCAACCACGAAATACAGAGAGAGGAATGAATAAATTTCCGCTTTAAATCCAATTTTATTTTTAAAATAATATACACTGCTAGTCAAAATTAACGCATAACAAGTAAAAAAATCCTACTTTTTATAAAATTTTGGATAAAAATACTTTAACTTATATCTCAGTTTACATGTTCAAGGGTTTTTCAAAATATCCTTAAAGCCATTATATTTAATAATAAAAAACGCTTGAAAAAAAAACTTTTATAGGGAAATTTTTTTTAAGTAAATAAAAAATATCCTGTGGAAGACCGTATTTTTGTTGGTAAACCCTGAAAATGCTGTACAAATCAAACGAACAGTAATGAAAATACAGCGCTTCAAAGTCGTCAAAAATGACCATTTTCAGCAAAATAATCAAAAAGGGGTAATTTTTACCGACTTTAAAGTGCTGTATCTTTGTTACTGTTCGTTTAATTTGTACAAAATTTTTAGGGTATACTAACAAAAATACGGTTTTTAACACCATATTTTTAATTTACTTTAAAAAAATTCTCTAAAAGTTATTTTTAGAATTATTTAATTAAAGGGCTTTGAAAATATTTTTTTGAAAAACCCTCGAACACGTAAACTAAGATATAAGTTGAAGTATTTTGATACAAAATTTCATAAAGATTGGTAAAGGCGTTTTAGAGTTAGAATTTTTTTACTTATTATGCATTTTGACGGGCAGTGTAGTTCCATGTTGTTTTTTAAACATTGTTTGCTCTATAAATCATCAAATGTCATATAGCTTATGTACTGTAATTCCCCTCTACATTATTCCTTATTTAACATTTCAGAAACATTCCTTTTATACCGGTATAAAAACCAATTTGAATACAGACAAAAATTTGTGTCCAGTCTGTTTTGAAGAAGTGGGACATTTTTCGCGACATTTAATTAGGAAGCATTCCGAGGATGAAACAGTTAAAAAGATCCTTAAAATGCCTATGAAAAGTAAAGAGAGGAGAGATGCAATCTTAGCACTAAGAAAAAAAGGAAATTTTGTGTTGAACCAGGAACAAAAAATATTGAAACCTGTTAGAAAACCCACAACAAATAATGATAACGACTATTTCCCATGCGTAGACTGCTTAGGTTTCTACAAAAAAATTATCTTTGGAGGCATAGAAAGAAGTGCAAGTCAAAAATAGTAGATGTTAAAAATGGAGATTCTAAAGTAAGACATCTTACTCAGGCACAAACATTTCTCGCTTCCACTGGTTTACTTGGGAACTATTTAAATAAAAGTCGCCTGAAGAAGAATGTTTTCAGTGTTATGCGACCTGATGAGATAAGTTTTGCCGCCAAAAATGACCCATTAATATGCCTCTTTGGAGAATCATATTTAAACAAACACAAACGTAAACAAATGAATGTCGTTGTGTCTAACAAAATGCGGGAGCTGGCGAGGCTACAACTTGCTTTGAAGAAGTCTACGACCATTAATGGCCTAATGGAAGTACTTAAACCTGAAATGTACAATCATATTATAACGGCTGCCAAAATAATAAGTGGATATAATTCAAACACTCAGACATTTAAAGCAAGCTCCTTAGCACTTCATTTAGGAACAAGTTTAAAGTTTCTTTGTGACATCGGTAGAAAAGCTTTAGTGACAAAAGATCCCTTATTTGAACATTCTGATGTGGATAAAAAACAAAAAGAAATTTCAGACCTGAAAGATATGATTCACAGTCACTGGTGCAATGACTTATCTAGTTTGGCCAACAAAGTTTTGAATGAAAACAAAGTTGACAAACCAAAAATTTTACCACTAACCGAGGATGTTCAAGCCTTTAATAAGTACGTGACAAATTTGGCAGACAAGGCGTATGAAAAAATAAAAGCTGGTAAAGACGTTGTGGCTAATTATAAACTTCTTGCCGAATGTACCTTGTCGATCGTCTTGGTTTTTAATCGCAAACGAATCGGCGAAGTTCAATTCCTAGATATTCAAAGTTACGAAAGAAATTTTTCGGCAAAAAATCAAAAAGAATGTTTGAACTCCCTAACAGAACTCGAAAAAAGCATGAGCGCCACTTTCAAGCGTGTAGTGGTCTTTGGAAAGGGGAGCAAGCCGGTGCCCATTTTGTTTACAAAGAGGATGCAACAATTTGTTGATATCTTATTAAAAATTAGAAGGGAAAATGATATAGTTCCTGATTCGAACAAATATGTCTTTGCTAACCCAGGATCGGTTGATAGATGGATGAGCGGGTCATCTGCATTAAGGAAGTTAGCATTTAAATGTGGAGCAAAAAAACCGGAACTTTTAACTAGCACCAGGTTTAGGAAGCAAATTGCCACCATTTTACAGCTCATGTGCTTTGAAAAAACTGAAATGGAACAAATTGCAAAATTTATGGGACACACGGAAAAAACCCATACCGAATTTTATCGGTAAGTCTTCCTGTGGTTATTTTTTACTTTGTTAGGTGCGATTACAATTAAAAGTATTTGTCTTTAGATATTTTAAATTTAAATAAGTAAACTTCCTTTCTTGGTTACCAAGCAAGGAAGTATACTTATTTAAGTTCAAAATATCCAATATTCAAACCTTGTTAAAAATGGACTACAAAAACCTAATGAAACTATTTGTCTTTACTTTATATATTTATTTACTTACTTTTGGTATAAAGATTGCTGGGTAAACATCCATTTGCTTAATTAAATTTAATCTAATGTTAAATCTGATCTTTGTTGGGGTAAACCGGCTTTTCAAAATCTCAGTAAGGAGAGTCACCTTAATCGGATTTTGGGTAAGATACCTTTTATGTGGTTTTTTAGGTAGCGGTCCGTTTTTATAAAAAAGGGAGTCCTCTAACCAAGACCTATTATACCTAAGATACAAAAAGTATTTTTTTTATCCATTTTACTTTTTTGCACCTAAATTGTCTTTTTTTACCCAAAAGGTACTTTTTTATGATTATATTGAATATAATTGTAAAAAAGTAAAGTAGGTAATACCTAGTTTAGTTTTTTGGCGAAAATTAAGTTTTAAAATAAAATCAAAATCTTTTGACCTTGGTAAAAAATCAGGTTTAATTTCATTTTTTTTTAACTTTTTTCGGCATGATTTTAAAATTCTATAGGTTTTGATATTTTACAGGCTCACCGAGGACGTGTTTCAAACAGCTAAGGTAGCGAAGGTGTTATTATTATTAAATGCAGGAAAAGGAACTGAATTTAAGGGTAAAAGTTTGTCTGAAATTCAAGTTGACGGTGATTTAATTGATGACGACGAAACTGAAAGCGAAATAAAAAATATGAAAACGACTACAGAAATGGAAATGGCTACGGAAATAAAAGATGACGACACGGCTATGTCTGCGGATACACAAAGTGACAATGATGAAGAATCTTTGGACGTAATAACAATGAAATTAAACCCAAGCAGTCCTTCCCCAGTTAAAAAAAAAACTTATAAACGTATTGCTGATTCAAATCCTCAGCCACGCTGCTCCAACATCAAAATGGCAAATCGTATTCGTTGGGATCCAAAAGGGAAGAAAATCGTTTTAGATTTCTTTAAAAAGCACCTTAAAACCAGGACTGTTCCCAAGAAAGAGGAATGTCTTACTTTAATAAAACAGCATCCAAATTTATTTAAAGAAAGCGATTGGGTTCGAGTAAAAACTCTAGTTTTTAATACTTTTCGCAATAAATAATAATACATAACATATATTTTGTTATTTACAATAAAACAAGTTCAACAATAAGAAATAGTTGCTTTACTTATACAAAAATTGAATCTGCATTTAAAAGTAAAAAACTATTATTATGTGGGATGTATAATTTTTTTTAAATAGTATGCATCGATCGATAATCGAATCTTTATTATATTATTTTTTCTATATCGTGCTGTAAAGTCCTTTACCAATTAAGCTATCCAAGCAGTATATTGCATATAATATATTATGTTAATTTTTTACTAAGTTGGTATATTTAAATACTGATTGTACTATTATAGTATAATACCCAATAAAGAGAGGCAAACGTGATAAGGGTTAGATTTCTGAAAACATCGTAAATTATGGTTTGCAAATGGAAAAATTACCTAAAAATAATGTACGAAGAAACCGCGTACCATAAGGCAGATCACAGTAGTTATCTCTTTCCTTGCACATTATTTGTAAGTAATTTTTCTTATAAATATCGTTAATAAAACGCTTAGTTTTCGCTAAGTTTAAAAAGTTGAAATAAAGAAGTAATTACGTATGTATCAGTTAATTTTAGTGCGCCGTTCTCATAATCCCCGTAGTAACATATTAGAACTTATATGCGACCCAAAATTAAGCTAAAGTACATAACAAGATAAGACCATAAGTTTAGGAATTATTTTTGTTAAACAATATTAGTTTTCATTTTTTATTTATTATGTTTGAAAGATTTTATGATCCACTCTGCATGATAGTTCCCAGTAACTTGTACAAAGCACAAACACGAATTTATTAAATAAAATAAAATTAAAACAAACCCAACAGTGTTGCCATATCTCGGGATTGGTAGCGTCAGTGATGTAATGCGGGTCTGTTAGAGTTTTATACAACATACAAAAAGCGATGACGCGACATCTGCAGGGTGATTTAGTGAACTATTTTTGTATGTTCGTATATAATTTACCGCCAAACCAAGCCCGAGACAATTTTTTTGTACAAGCTCCCACTACCTCAGGGGACCTTAAGAAATCGAAATAACATAAGATACGTTGTCAGACCCAAGAGCGGGTCTGATAACGTCGAATTTGGTCTGACAACGTTTGTAGAATATAGCAAAGTGGGTCTGTATAAGCGGTAAAATAAATATATATATATATATATATATATATATATATATATATATATATATATAATATATTATATTTTATATTATAATAATTAAAATTACTAACAAGCTTTTACTTTACTTGTCGACAAGAAAATAAATAGTTTATTTATTTTTAAAATTGATTAAAAAAAATTTAATTTTTAAAAATATTTTAAAGAAACTTAAATGCTTGGCTAAAACGGTGACGGGGACAAATGAAATGAACGTAGCGAGTTAAATAAGTTTTGTTGACGTATACCGATTATCCTCGCGTGAGAACAGCAGGTGTGCTAGGTCTACCAAAGTAGATTTAACTACTATTATTATTATTTTTTATTGTTCTTAGACCACGTTACTTAAAAGTAACGTGGACAACGTCTAAGAACACCAAGCGATCAACCAATATTTGTTAGCATGGAGAAGAAAGCAACTTAGGAGATGACGTCGCGACGTCGAAGAAGGCTGTGCAAGTGAGGCGCCGCGTTAGAGACGCGCGCTGTCTGGGCGGGCGGGAACGAATGGCGGCGTCGTGAGCGGGCGCGCACTATTGATTCCCGCATCGAGACGATCGTGCCAGTGTGCTGCGGTGACGTCCAAGTGCATGATTTCACCAGGTCCCAGATAACACATTTCCCTCAGATATCTTCGAAAAAAAGTTTGTGGATGAATAACACTTTCCATCAACAAGAGAGTTCGTCATTATGATAAAAGTGGTGAAGTGATTGATTGATTAGTAGTAGGTTGGAGATGACGTCGCAGGTGACTCGTGGGTGAACAGTGGGGTCGAGCCGGTGTTTCGAATGAATGAGTCGGTGGTGTTGTTGGCATGACGTGCGATGAGGCGGCCCTCGAGCCGCCCTCTTCCGCTTTGAATGTAACTGCAGATACGTGCCTGGAGGAAAGGAAGTACTGGTGCTTTCTTCTATCCAGCATATGCACCTTCTTGGCGGGTTTGACCATCGTGTTAGTATGGCGTCTCTTTTCCTTCTTGTGTTGCTCGAAGGAGGCCGAGTATGGCCCCAACGACCCCAAGCAGAAAGAGCAGAAGGCCGCCCGACAGGGCAAGCAGGAGTTCGAGGGGACCTTCATGACCGAGGCCAAGGATTGGGCGGGAGAACTCATCTCTGGACAAACCACCACCGGACGCATCCTGGTAATTAACCATCTAACTACGCCCTTTATTTTAACAATTTCTTTTATTTCCATCAAAAATTGATTCAAAAGAGTTCTGACCTATATTCAATTTAAAATCACTAAAATAGAATTAGGTCAAATACAACCTTTTTACTTATTCATCTATAATCAATTATAACATCAAGAACCGAAATAATAAGCATTTATACAAAATATTGTGTGCTAAATCATTAATTCCACTTAAAAAAATACGAAATAGACACCATTAATTCTTTATTAAGACAAGGTACTTAGTTAAAAAATTGATCACATGATTTTTAGTCTCACTCTATATATAGCAGGTTGTAGTGATAGAGTTTATTAAAAATTGTGTTTCAAGTCCTCTGCCAACAAATAAAAATAACAACTATTTACCAGTTCGTATTAATTATAATTAACACCGTAACTAACATTTGCATACAGAAAGCAAAACTCAAATTTAACCAGTCAAAACATTTATTCGTCATTTATTATGCAGTTTTAGTTTAATTACGTTACTTTCATGTTTTTATCAACTATACTATAGAAAGTATCGTATAGGTATACCTATACTATAGTAGCTAAAAAATATTTTCACTGATACCTAAAATGTAAAGTGTAAAGAGTATCTTTAATCAACGATAGAAGTTTACATAAATTTTAGTCAGGGCCGTTAAAGGCGTGTTTTAATCCTTTAAAAAATTAAAATGTCTACCCGACAAAAAATTAAATAATAATAATTAACTACCTACCTAATAATAATAATAATAGGTACATAGTTCTTAAAATTCGCTTTTTAAGATTTAGGACTACCTATATGTATTTTATATTTTATAGTTTTTAAACAATTTTGAAAATGGAACTTAATTTAAGTAATTTGAATATTTTTTAGAAAATAAATATTTTTTGACTAACTTTCTTAAGTGTATAGTATTTGAGATTTAAATTTAAATTAAAACAAAACGCTATGTTGGAACAACGTCGTAACCAGAGCTGGGCACGAGTACTAAAAAAAGTATTAGTAAAATTTTAAGCACGAGTACTTAAATATTTACTCGTAAGTACTTTACTCGTAAGTACATTTGTAAAGAGAGGTTACGGTTACGAGTAGTAATCGTCAAAACACGAGTAAAGAGTAGGTACGAGTACTTTTGAAAAAAAATTAGTTAATATAATTGATTATTCTTTATACAATATACATACTTTGGTCCTGAGCTATAAAAATACAAAAACAAATTTATAATAGTATATTGTGTATCAAGTTTGATAAACGCCATTTAAGACACGAATTTAATTTAGGCACGAGCGAGCTTGCGAGCGAGTGCTTAAATTAATGATTAATGTCAAATTTGTATGTTTTATAAACATGGATAATAAATAAAAATATATTCCTTGAAAATGGATTAAACAACAGTTTTTCACAGTGAAAGTGAAGAAAATGTTTTATTACCACTTCACGGTGAAGTCCGAGCCCGACTTTAAGTTGTATCTAGTTTACTGCCGGCGAAATTAAAGGTCAGTACAATGTTCATATAAACTCTTCAAATATTGGCGTTGAGAAACTATTTAATGGTTTTGAATTTGTGTATTGAGATAATAAATTAATTTTTAAATTTAGTATTATTTAAGAAGAAGGGCACTTTATTTTAAGGATTGTATGACATTTGACAACTGTCAAATAACTTAAAGCTAACTTCAGCCCGTGACTAAAGACCTGTTGCTAACTTCAGCCCGTGACTAAAACGTTATAAAGCCACAGATTGCTAATGTGTATTTAAAAGGTCACTTAGTGTCGTGGGATAATGTGCGTTTTAAAGGTGGGAGTAGAAAATAGTGTATTATGTATCAAGTTTAATAAACGCCATTTTATACACGAATTTAATTTAGGCACAAGCGAGCTTGCGAGCGAGTGCTTAAATTAATGAGTGTATAGAAAAGTTTATAAACGAGGTGCATACTATACTTTTTCTACGACACTTATTATTATCTTAAAATGATTTAAATCAAAAAATTTATCTATGAAACAATAGGGAAATCTTTCTGTCACCGTCAAATGTCAAATTTTTATATTTTATAAACACAGATTATAAAGGTTATAAATCGAAATGTATTTCTTGAAAATTGACAGTTTTTCACAGTGAAAGTAAAGAAAATGTTTTAGAAGCAATTAACAGTCCGTGCCCGAATTTAAGTTATAGTTTACTGCAAGCAAAATTAAAAGGTCAGTACAATGTTCATATAAACTTTTCAAATATAGGCGTTGAGAAACTATTTAATACTTTCGTATTTTTGTATTGAGATAATAAAATAATTTTCATATTTAGTATTATTTTACAAGAAAGGCAATTTATTTTAACTATTATGACATTTGACAACTGTCAACTAACTTAAAACTAACTTCAGCCCGTGACTAAAAACCTGTTGCTAACTTCAGCCCGTGACTAAAGCGCCATAAAGCCACAACTTGTCAATGTGTATTTAAAAGGTCACTTAGTGTCATGGAAACATGTACAATAAAGGGCGTTTTAAAGGTGAGAGTAGAAAAAGTTATTTATTTTAAACATTAGGTAGGTACCTACATAAAATAATAAATAAAAATAACAATTCTTTATAATTTTACCCATATACTTGTTATAAAACCTATAGGCTATAATATATTATACTAAAGTATATATTACCTATATAATTTAAAACAGACTTCCAAACAAAATGTTTTGATGCTTACGATATTTTGGCAAAAATGTATCGATATAATAAACGAAAATACTCGTATATATTACTCGTAAATTCCACGAGTATTTTTTACGAGTACATTGAATTTGGTTTGTAAGTACTAGTAATAAGTATTTCAAAAGAAAAATACTCGTACTTTTTTACTCGTAATTGAAATACGAGTAAAAGTACTCAGTACTTGGCCAGCTCTGGTCGTAACTGCCAGAAATGAGTTTTGTATAATATCATGTGTTGCTTTTAAAGTACAATTAAGTTAACACTACACGAAACCATTAAAAATGCTTCAAATCTTTCTTGCCTTTACAATACATTCCCTTAAAATATTTTCCACGAAAAAAAAATCCTGTCGGTAAATTAATTTAATTAATCATTTATTAAAAAGTATATTTATTTTATATTGTTTAGATTTTATTCATATTCGAAATATTTTACAGATATTGGCAGCAGGCCAAAATCTATATATTAAACATTATTAATACGTTTATAGGTCATTGTTTGGAGAATATTCTTTATAAAAGGACTAACTGTATGTGACCTTTTTAAAATGATTAATTGATTAGGTACATATTTTTTAACTTTTATAATTTAATACGTTCAAACACGACAGTTTTTCATAAAAAATATATTTATATATATTTTAAATATATACTATAGTATTAATATGCATATCTTTAGGTGGTCTATAATTTAAACTTTATTGCCAACTGATTGATTATAGCCTGGGCTGTAAAAATAATTTAGACAAATCGGGTACCTCCTAGGTTGTAAAAACCTCCTTTGAACCACTCAAAAAATTCGATAACTGTCAGATCTACCTAACCTCACTTTCTACTTTCAATAATTATTTTTATAATTGTACGTTTTAAGTATCGTTAAACAAATAAAATTGTGCCTTGAAGATAAAATTTTGTATGCCATTCGCCTCAGAAGTGTCTTTTTCTGCTTCGCTAAATTGTACTTTGAGCTAAGCACAAAAATTCTTAGCCTAATGGCATACATAACTATTTAAATGGGTTTGAAAGGCAATTTATTTGAAATCACCCTTTAATGTGTAAATTACCAAAAATATTATTTGGTAATTATATTTCGATAAAAATTATAACGCGTAATTTGGAAGGAAATAGGTGTTTTATTGCAAACAATAAAACTTTATTGGTTCCATGCTATTGTTAACATTATTTAAGACTTGTCCGCACTGAAGCAATAACGGGAGGGAAACTTTTGTCTTTTATGTTTTATTTGCTTTTGAAATAAAACGTAGTAATCCTACAGAATTTTTTATTTTAAAGTATAATACAAAGAGGAGTTGTCCGATATTTTTTTCATTATCTTTTATTATTTTTCTTGATAGGTCAAAACATTATCGTAGGATCCAAGTAATTACTGCGTTTAATTTCAATTTTAAAAAGCAATCTAAAACTTAAACATATTTTATATTAAAATATTTAGCTCAAATGTCACGCTATGTTTAATAATAATAGTAGGCTATATATAGTGAATAATGCGCATTATTTCGAATGTAATGCTCTATATGCTTTTTTTACTCCAATCAAGTTATTTTCATTAATAACAAAATTTATTATAACCTAACTTTCTCCCGATTTTAAAGATCATTATAGTCGCCCCTCGTATATATAAAATATCTGACATCTGTTAACCTTTCTTTTTTCCAATTTAAAATACGATTGGTTTAAATAAAAGTGAATATTGAAATCAGCAAATCACTGATGCCTAACAACGTGAATATTGAGTTTATTATTTACGTTGTTGGCAGGGCAGTTATATTGGTTACCATTATTTACGAAATTAAATTATTGACAATAATTAAATTATTGACAATAATATGCAATAAAAGTAGAAAAATATAGTTTTTAATTAAAACCAATTGAATATTGGGTGAATATTTTAAAACTGTCTTTTTTTGGAACCATTTTGTCATTTTAATTAATTTCCCACTGAAATGAAATATTTTAAATTGGTTACATGTAAGGGATACGACAATAACGAGCACAGTAATGATGATTTTAAGGTTAGAGTGTTTTACAATGTTTATTCGAGAATGTAATGGAATTTTCAAGTTACCATTTGCTTTTTGTTAGACTCCTTTGTATTAATGTAAATATTTTGTATGTCCATAAACTTTGAAATAATACTTACCCCGACAATGATGGATTTTCGTTTTCGTTTTGCATTCGGCGCACGTCACAACTTTATGGTTTGATATATGCTAGTGGAAGTTAGACAGGCAGGATATTTCCCTATAAGACG